CATTCACATTGCACTTGTCACATAAAAGGTGAAGGATTAAGATCTATAGCACTGGGGAAAGGAATAGTTCCATGCTTTATTAACCACCTAAATTTCATATCAACACCAAATATCTCATCTCTTATAATGCTCACGAGATCTAAAGCTTAAGAACTTGACTACGCCATATATAAGCAAAAATATCATGAGTATCAAACTATTCTGCTAATACATCTGTATCACGAATAATCTTCAGTGAAGGAAGAATAATTGCAGCCACTGGTTTATCTTCACATCCGCCACCTTCGTCAATGATCAGCCTTAAGCCTTCTATATGAAGTTTGTCATGGTGACCACTCACAACGATGGTTGGACTTGCACTTAGTTCCTAAAAGAAACCAATAAGCCAATTTATTTAAAGATTCTACAAAAGAAAAGTAAAGGCATAAATATCCTTTTAGTCCTTAATATAGTTTTCCCTATTTAAAACCATATGATATAGCAGTAATATTATAATACACAGCAAGCTATCACCTCTGGAATATCCAACACACTCTTTCTCCCACTTAGAGCCTCCACCCAACCTTCCCGAGTATTTCGAGCTTTCAAAAGTTTTAACTGTTCTTTCACAGCTACTCTTTTCTGCAAACCAGCATGAACGGCAATCAACTTGCAGCATTTACTTCCATCTTCAGTCTTAATGAAGACATCGTCCTAGAAAATTTTATCTAGAGAACTTTCAGCAATTCTTCATTTAATTCAAATCATTAAGTAGACGAAACAAGGACTGCCAAATCAAGAGGCAACCAGATAACTTAAAAATCTGTCATATGATCGACCACAAACATAAAGAGGCAAACAAAGGAAGCCTCACCTCTTCATGGACCCAAACCAAATCAGCCAAAAATTTCTTATGCTCATCAGGAACAGCCTTAACCAAATCTGCATGCAATGAACTGCTCTTCAGTCCAGAAAACAGTACTCAATTTAAAAGAAAGCCCTAGTTAGACTTCAAAACAGTATTCATACATTATACTTCTTGGACAACGAAGATCCACTAGCTATATAACTATAAGTCACCAATGTCGTTCATAGTAAACCTGAAGCTATATAAAACTACACATACTAAGTTACAAACCAAGTTAGCAAGATCAATAAAACGAATCCAACTTTGTTAGCGCTCGATAGGTGTTAGAGAGAATACAGCAGGAAGTGTAGTGCAGAGAAAGAGAGAAAAACGAGAGTTATTTCTTATTAACAACACAATATATATATGTACAACAGAAACACTGACAACTGACGGTTAAAACAGTAGTTTTTATGTATATATGTACAACATATCAAAATAACACAATTAACAGAAAGTGTAGTACTCAACATTCAAAATATAATTTAAAAAGAAATACCACCAATACACCCTTCGTTCTCACACATTCTTTTACAAACTCTATTATTGATCTACTTTCTAATACGTCAATTCAGTTGTCTTGTAAACAAAGTCACTCTTCGAACCAAAATATCAAACACTGACTTTTAACCAAATAAAGGACCAATAATAGAAAATGTGTTGAAGTATGATTATAATTTAAAATTACAAAAATGCATACATGACAAAAGTGAATTAATAAACAATTTAATCCGTGACAACTTGTGTTGCTCTGACCTAAAATATTTTCATCTATAGAACTTAGACCTTTGATAGATGTAATTATAAATGGAAAACGTCACAGGGCAAACTTTTGTTGAAGATATAACTGTTGGGACTAATTATCAAACAGAATATAGTAGTTTTCTTTTTTTTTTTTATATTTTAAATAAAAGTTACATAGATTGACAGGGTAAATCCGTTTTTATCCTATTCTTTTGGCCACAATTTTTTAGCCAGTTTATTAACTAATACTTTTACTCGTGTTCTATAAATACGTTGTTGATTTCCGTATGAATAAAATTATACCTTCTGCACTAAAATTCCGGAAAAAAAAAATTACAAATTAGTATGAGCTTTTATTTTGTGATGGTGAGTATGAGTTATAGAGTGCAAGGATAATTTTTCATCTTGACTGACATTCCAGAATTGGCTCAGATGAAATATCACCCGATCAGACTGTTAAAAGAGAAAC